TCCAGCCTGGGCGACAGAGCGAGACTCTGTCTGAAAAAAAAACAAAAAACAAAAAACAAAAAACAGAAAATAAGGTTTTCTCTGCTCCCTCTGGCTCAAGAGGGAACTGGGAACTGGCCTGCTGCTGCTTCAAGACCCAGACGGCTGCCTTGCTGGGAAAGGGCTGGGAAAAGGGTGAGTAAAAATGCCACAAAATTTTTCTACCATTTTAAAGACTTTTGTTTTTGAGACAGCATCTCACTTTTGTTGCCCAGGCTGGAGTGCAGTGGCGTGATCACAGCTCACTGCAGCCTTGACTTCCTGGGCTCAGGTGATTCTTCCACCTCAGTCTCCCAAGTAGCTGGGACTATAGCCACACACCACCACGACCAGCTAATTTTTTGTATTTTTAGTAGAAACAGGGTCTCACCATGTTGCCCAGGCTGTTCTCAAACTCTTGGGCTCAAGTGATCCACCTGCCTCAGCCTCCCAAAGTACTGGAATTACAGGTGTGAGCCACCGCGCCTGGCCAGATTTTTTTTTTTTTTCTCTTGATAGGGCATTTACCTGGTTTCTGTAAACCATTGACTATTTTCCAGAGCCCCAACATAGTTGGTTCTGACAAGTTATGCTTGTTTTTTTAATGATTCTGTAAAGCAACAAGGGCTTAGAGCTTCCTAATTTGCCATTGTATAGATATCATTCGCTAAAACAAAGCCAGTTTAAACAATCAATAAATTTTTCAGCTAAATAACACAAGAAGTCCAACAGGATATAGGACCATAAGGACGGCTTCATCAGCATCTCTATTTTTCTGGGATTCTTCTAGGTCTGTTTTTATTTCTGGATGGGTTCAGACTTCTCTTTGCCTTCCTTCATCATAGCAAAATCTCTTTGGCAGTTCTGGGTCCCATACCTGAACCCTACAGCATCCAGAGGAAGAAATTCTCCATGTTCCTGGTTTGTCATCCAAACCCAGGGGATTAACTCTAATTCAGTGGTGCTTACACTTGGGTCTGTGACTTCAAAAGATCTGTAATTTTCTGAAATCATAATGTAACTGTATTTCAGGTTCAGTTACTTGCCAGCTGCAGAGTCCAATTAACAAAAGCAAGGTCTGGTATAAAGAAAGTGACTTAGTATTCCAAATCCAGCTTAGGGAAAGAAGTATGGGATTCCTCCCTTAAGGGTGCTGCTTCAGTTTTGGGGCAAAAAGCAGGGACTTTTAAAGAGGAGAACTTGACACGAATGGCATGCAGGGGCGGGGGCGCGCAGGTGGGGGTCTGCATGACTCACTTTGGTGCCTTATCTGCTGGGTGATTGAACTGGTGCCATCATGGGTAGAAGTAGGTTGTAAAGTGGCTGTTGTCTCAAGATACTCTCCAGGTAGGAGAGAGTTTCATAGCAGCCACGTTTTAGGTTGTAAATTGACTGTTGTCTCTTGAAGCAATGTCCTGGTGGGAGAACTTTCTGCCTCTGGTGCTTTTAAGTAAGCAGCAGTTAGATAAACTTGCCCTGTAGGGGTGTCTAGTGAAGGCAAGAGAAAGGTTATAATTGCATTTCTAAAGAGATAAGTAGGAAGTGGAGAACTGAAGAGGAGGAGGAAAGGGAAAAGAAGAAAAACAATAATTAAAAACCCTCATTCTCTTTCTCTTAGAAAAATGGGGGTGCTTGTTTACAATTAGAGTCTGATTAGTCCAGCTTGGGTCACATGCCTATCTCAAAACAAACTAGAAATCCAAAATGTGGTGATGCTTTGAGCCATGGTCTTTGTTTCTCCCGTGAAGACTGGAATGACATACCATAGCTTACGTGGAATGACATGGGTCCTGGATATCAATCTGACATCACTGGGAAGAGAGGAGGGAAATCATTCCTGGGTCCTACAGAGTTGTCCACTGCATGCTCCTACATATTATCCAAATGGAGAAGTAGCCTGCTTGAGTCACTGTCCTGGATGAAATAAACAGTCACAGACAGAACCTCCATTTTTAAAGTGACCTTTGATAATCTCCATTCTGGCCAGTTTTCTGTTGAAGAACACCCTAACAGTTTCACAAATCTAGGACAATCTCAGTATGTACATAAAATGGAACCCTAAATTTGGAGAAAATAAAGAAGAAAAAAGTAAAAAATGAATAAAGAAGAACGCATATCACCCAACACTTAGCTTCAATCTCTCATAGCAGCTTTATCTTCTTATACTCCTTCTACCCTCCACACTTACCCCCTCATGTGTGTCAGCGCCTTAGCACATGTTAAAAAGTATGTTTGGCATTTCCTTCCATTTTGCTGTGACTGGTAGGTTTTTATTCCTTCTCTAAGATTCAGTTAAATATCAATCTTCTATGACCCCTTCTCCAGCTAATCCAAGTAAGCAGAATAATGGCATCCTT